GTTTTTCTGTGTTCGTTACAGTATATGTTTTACATTGTGTGTACATGTACAGTTTTGTGTGTGTTTTCAACATGTCAGGAGTGAAACGTAAACACGTTACTCTTTCATTAAATGAAAAATTAGCAGTGCTACAAAGACTGGACAAAGGGGAAGATTGTTTATTTTACTTTTTTCTGATAATCCGACCTTTTTTTGCGTTCTGACCATACCCCCAGTCCCAAAGGTGACGGATTAGAGGGGTTCTACTGTAAATGTAATATAAGGAAAAATTGAGCATTTTTAGATTTGATACGAGAAGAATTGACTTATAGAACATTAATGCAGTAGAGGATTGTTAAATGTATTTTTGTTTTCAGAGATGACAAATGATTAGGTTAATCCATTCTTAGTGCTATCTTAAGTCATCAAACTGCTTCTTTAGCTTTTGATATTCTGAACACAGAGAAGTACTTACTGTTACCTTTGTGGTGAATACACTGGTTTTCATATATTTTTCTTAAGTACTGTAGTGTACTTTATATGGTATAATAAAAGTTTGTTATATAAATTCAGAAACATCAGATTAAAATGCTGTTCACAATAAATTGTTAAAAAAAACATTTTAAATACTTCTACATTCAAAGAATACCGGGATGAAATCAACACGTACCTTGAACCTGTTACCAGTGTGGGTGATTAATATATATGAAAACCAATGTATTCACCACAGAGGTAACAGTAAGTAGTTCTCTGTGTTTAGAATATCAGAAGCACATTTTAAACACATTTTTCTGTTAATTGCAAATTGTTGCTTAAGTGTCTAGGCAATCATCTAGGATTAATTTGGGGTAGGGCACAAATTTATATTGAATTCTGTTTTACATATCTGTTACCATGGAATCCCTGTTTAAAACCAGATCATGCTGTAATCTTGAAAATCTGTGTTGACATCTATATGATTTGTAGTTTTTATGGTGAATAATGAAAAGAAATTAATAGAATTTTATGATCTCCAATTATTATAATAAAAGCACCAACTAACAGCTGTAATCCAGTTAAAATATTACTTTTACTCCAATGATTATTGCATTATTTTGCTATCACAATTTATCATAATAAACACATATCAATAGTTAACTTAGCATTATTAAATAAGTAAATTTAAGTTAATATTTATTGAATTAGCAATTCAATAAATATTAACTTAAATTTACTTATTTATTGAAATTTAAAAATAATTTGAAAAATAAATTTACTTATTTATTTTATTGAATAATTTTTAAAATTATTGTTTGTTCTTTTATATAGTTTAATCTTGCAATTCCTGATGAGATGGATGTTCAAGTAGAAACAAAGAAAGCTTTAGCTGGTCAAATTCCGAATCTCGAAGACAGTACCTGCGTCGAAATATCCCTGACCACCGTTGATGGCGACACGTTGGTTCTGGAGACCTGGCATCTGGGAATGAACGAGCAAAATGATCCCGTGGTTAAGATTTTGCCCACGGTTTACAATAGGATCGGACTGATGCTTAAGTCTCTCATAGCCGTCAGTCGCGTCACGCCAGCATACAGACTTTCATGCAGACAGGGTCACGACACCTATGTCATCTGCTATAAAGTTTATATGGGAAATCCACAGGTATTTGTTTTAAGCAAAAGTCTAAATTGTTTTTTTTTTTTACTTATCATAAACAAGAATATTTAATGTTGTTACTAGTTACATTTTATTTTATTTTTGGTGACATATTTCATTGTTAGTATATTTTGTGCTAGTGCACTTTCTCAAAGACAGACTTATCACACTGGATTCTGTTCCATGTTTAAGCCAGTATGATAAATCTGTCTTTGGAAACAGTATACTATCACAAAATTACAAAGTAAGACAACAGACAAAAAGTGATCAGAATAATGTTTTATTATGATAATTTGTATATCTTGACTAAGTTTCAGATTTGTTTTGAAATGTATCTCTACACTCAAATTAACTGGAAAAAATCAGTTTTTATTCAAATCACAAAAAAATACTTTCATATTGTTTATAACAGAATAGTATTCAGATTCCAGGAAAAAAATTCTGTTTTTTTTTTTTAATTGGTCAAACATTGTGATATATTTTTTTTTAATGTTTCACAGAAAAATGTTCTAATTCCATGATTATGTGATTTGATTAACTCATTCACTTGCCCCTCACCCACAGTCCACTTGTTTCCAATATAAACTATTCATAAAAAATTCTCAGGATGCTGCCTTTTCTATTTTGGTTTTTCATAATGGAAAAAATTTCATGAAAATTTTAAGTTAAGCCTATTCTCTATATATAGAATAGATTTTAACAATTTAATATTATAGCTAATAATAATTGTTATAAATGACATTTAACAAATTAAAAGCCACATTTAAAATTTATATTTTATTGTTTTTTTAAAAGAAAAAATTTATTATTATTATTATAGTAGAGCATCGATTATCCGACCCCCGATGAACCGTCACATCGGTTAACTGACCGTTCTAGTTGGCAAATTTCAAATGTCCGCTAGTGATGTGGCACTACAATATTTGGCTATGTCTTGGCTTTAATATTATTTTTGTTAAATTTTTGCGTGTATTAGCTGGCAACTACGGCTCAACCATTGTAGGGTGGTCAGTATTTAAACGAGATTTAATTTTCTAATTATGAGTGGTTGTTTGTTTTGTGAGCAATAAAGTAATTTAAAAATAATTTTTAATGATACAATAGCTACGATTATTATTTTAAAAAAAATTTGTTAGGCTTAACATCGATGAAAGTTCAACATGAAGTTGGTTAATAGCAATATACTAATTACATGGGATATACTAATATACTATACTAATAATGTATTTTTTTCATTCTTTTCGATTTATCTGATTTTTCAGTTATCCGACTAACCTGAGTCCCCAATTGAGTTGGATAATCGATGCTCTACTGTATTATTATTATTAAATTAAAATTTAATAAAATATTTCCATCAAATTTATTAGTATGTAAAATCATCTTTCAGATGGTTATACTATTAGAACACTTGCATTATATTATATTTGATTGTACAATATTCAATCTGACATTTTCTAATTTTTCAAAGTTGAAACAAGAACAAATTGTTAAACATTTGAGTCCCAAAGAAATAATAAGAGATTGAGTATAGCTACAAAGTATTTAATACAACTCAATTTTCTGAAATAATATTTCAATGTGAATTGGAATGTATGTATGCAATAATAAACAGTTTAAACAATTTAAAACAAAAAAGTCTTTAAATCAGCAATAATTTTTTGATGAATAAATGTTTTCAACCATCTTTTTCTAAAATGTAAACAATTTAAAATATAAAGCTATGCAGGCAATAATAGACTTCATTTGTTTATTTTTGTATCATTTTACATTCAATATTGTATTTTCCATGCATAGTCATATCCACATAACTGATCAGAGATAAAATAATATACTGTCTTTAAATCTTTTCATATATTCAATATAGGTGCAAGCTAATGTTTTGCAGTTACTTATTATAATGAGTTATTACTAATGATGCACTCAGAACCAATTACGGTGTGATAAAAAACGAACGTTTTCGAACCCCTTCTGGGCTCTGCATCGGATTCTTAACCGTTCCTAGATGGTTAGTCGTATGAAATGACGTTTAAATAAGAGTTCGATTATAAGTTCAAAAAAAATTACAAAAAACCATGTTGCATATGCATACATGGCTTTTTGTTATTGTTTATTCTTGAGTACAACTCCACACCTTGTATTCTTAGTAGGTAGTGAAATTAGTAGGTAGAATATAATTTCACAGAATACAATATAACATTAAAAACACTAGCAATTTGTATGTTTATATCATTCAGCTTATTACATTTTAAAGCATCATTGCAGTTATGATTACTTTGTAGCCATTTCATCATCAAAATTTGATCCATTTAGTGGTAAGTATCTCTGTGTGCTCTTTTACTTCTGTTTGAAATATAATTACATAGTATCAAAAACTTTAAAAAATTGTTTTATTAGAATAAACTACATAAGAAAACTATAGGCCAGTATACTTTTATGTATATAGGAGCTTAAGACTTTTTTACAATATTGTTGCAATAAAAATTCATTTTAAATACAATACAGTAATATATTTTTTTATTTGCATTTGAAGGTAACAGAAGTTGTGTATTTTTATTCCTAGATATACATTGACTAATATTTTACAGAAGTTTCTTCTTTCATTTTCATCATGAAACACTTGATCATTAATAAATAATAAATACTTTATACAATTATAAATAATGAAGTGTGACCTATATAAATTTGATTGCAAATCCATGTATTTTTTTCTGTACAAAAAATTTAGAATATAAATTTTAAATTTAGGATTTATAACTGGAATTTAAATCTTTATGCATATGTAATTTAACTAATGATAGAAAATGAGTTAAAGCAAACAATCTCTGGATTAGATTAGGCTATGTTAATACTACTATTAATAATTAAATGATAAGTAATTTGGCCTAGAGTTAGGCATTAGGTGTCATCTCTTATTAAATTTAATAATTAAAATTAATATTTACTAATTGATTTAGAAGATTCTGGAATAAAAATGAGTGAAATTAGTAAAATTATTTTGAAAAGATCTGCCTGAAAGTGGTTAACGTTTTTTATATGAACTTAAATAAATTTTTCCTTTGTACTGATTACAATAAGATTATATATTATCTAAATATATAAAATTACATATCCTGACCGACTGACTGGGTGATTCATCATGACTCAAGAGCTAAACCGCTGAACCTAAAGAGATGAAATTTGGTACACAGTTAGGGTATGTCATGAATATGCACACTAAGAAGGGATTTTCAGAAATTCCCCCGTGGGGAAGAGAGAAAGGATTGAGGCTTAACCTGAAGAACGGCTTCTGCTGTATATTTTAGATGCAATTTTTGTTTTTATAGTAACAACTGATTGAGAATCTTAGTGAAGTACCGAGGGAGGATTATTTCTATTAAATTACAAATTCTGTGCGGGTGAAGCTGCAGGTAACAGCTAGTTGTATATATTTATAGTCATACATACTGATAACAAAAACTAACCAATAATATTAAGCCAGATAAGTATATACAGCTACATTTAGTGAAAATTCCAATTTTATTGTCTCAGACATGATAAAAGAATTAAAATTTTATAACTTGAAGATTTATTGTTACTGACTTACTACTAATTAGAATTAATGTTTTGTGTGCTTGCTTAAAGATGCTTTTTTCCAATATTGTCTTTAGCCACAGCTAGAATGACTGAAGCAAGAAATGCAAACAATTTTAAACTATTGTACAGCAAACAAATGACATAGCATATGAAGCACTGATTAACACTGATAATGATTGCATGTTATCAGCCACATTTTGAGACTGAGAGCACAATAATATTTTTAAGCATTTTATCTTGAGGTAAATTATCAACTATAATTGAATTCTGACTACAATAAGTAAAATTTTATAAGAGTATTTTAACTTGCATGTTTTTAGAAATTTAATTGATTATAATTATTAAATCTAGTATGAGATTACAATATAACTGCCTACCACTAGATAAATTATTTGGTATTTAATTAACATAGCCATATTATACTATAGTAGTTTGGCAGTTCCTTTGACATTAACTATAAATTGGTTTCTGAGTTATATATATAGTTTTTTTAGATCTGTTAACTTTAGTAATAACTAGCTGTGCTTGTGGTTTTGCCCATGTGGAATTCAGTTTGTGACTAGAACGGTATCAGTTAGTTGATATCTTTTAATTTATATCAATGTTTTAAGTCACAAATCTTCTAATCCGAATACCGGTATTTTGCATAAAATCGTACTTACTAAACCTTTATTGTCCGGTACTTCTTAACTATTTGTAAAAACAAACATTTTTGGCCTCCATTGAGGTCTGCTTCAGGTTAAAAGGACAGTCGGATTCCATTCTTAGAATGAATGTTTAGTTTTAAAATATTCAAACTCATGTGCATGTTACGTATTGTCATCATTTTCTTGTTCTTCGCATACATAGCGCCAAGCATAGGAAAGAATGTTTTATGAAGAATGTTTTAGGAATGCGTAGGGGACAAAAGATATTCATTACTTTAAATGACAACAAATAGGCAAATGTTCAGCACAAGTTTGGACACTGCTTATCTCGCCGACCACATAACTGCGCCATGCTGTTACCTATCTCATATATGTACGCGTCTTGCCCCTTGCCACCCACTGACACCAAAAATATAACGCTTACCTAGATGATATCTTTTAATTTATATGAATGTTTAACAGAATAATATACAACCTATGTCCACCTTGAAGATCCATTCTAAATATTGGTGAAAGAATTTTTGAAATTGGATGAGTAGTTTTGGAGATTACCTCCTACATCCAAACTTACAAACTTTNTCAGCGCTGACTCAACACACTCAGCACTCAACAGATATGTTGACTGCTACTTTCCAATGAATTGTGGGTAATTGGTAAGGCATTTGAATGGAATCCATCTTGCTGAGAATGGAATTATGGGAACTAAGCACTTCGTACTCGAGTTGGAACGTCGTTGATGACGTCAAATTGTTGACTTCAACACTCAACACGCGCGTTGAAAATTGG